CCCATTTACAGCACCCCCACCAAGGGATTTATGGTTTGGTTAAGGATCTGAACTGGACCATAAAGACTGAGTTCCCTGCCACCCAGATCCGTACTACGGGCCTCATTGGTCAGAAGCCAGATCCGGAATCATCCTGATTAGGAGGAGCCCCACCGCTCTGCCCGGGGACACTACATCCTGTGTGTGAGGGGGTGCGGGGGGGTAGTTCCTGTCCCAACCCTGGTTTCTGCATGCCAGTGCTTCCTGTATTTGGGGGTGGGGCTGCCAGTGGGTCGGAGCAGAATGACAGGAAAGCGGTGGCCCCTTGGAATGGGGAGGGCAGGGCAAGGTGATGGACGCCAGGCCACAGAGATCTCTTACTTAATGCTGCTTCCTGGGGCAAGAGAATTTCAGCTTTCTTTTGGATAGCGCAGTTGGGTCAAGACATCTCAGCATTAAGAAAACACACAGAGGGATTCCCCCCCAGTCCGGACCCCTTCTGACAGCATCAGCCACCCCAACCGGAGACAGATCCAGAGACCAAAGAGGCTGGACGTCCCTTTCTTTAAATCGCTACCCCACTGTTTGTTAACCTTTAGCCGATAATGTTTATAATACCCAATGTATCTTCGAGGCCGACACTGGTGTTTGTACCTGGGCTAAAATTACAGCACAGTCATGGTGTGGTGCAGCTCCGTCATCTATATAAAAGCCAGGAGGCAAGCAGACACACCTCCACCACCTCCTTAAAGGCTGGGATGTGTCATGATTACAGACTCGGGACTAAAATGGCTCAGCCGATACACACCTGCCTGCTGTCAAAAACCCCCCCATAACTGGGCCTGGTGCGGGTTCCAGAACAGTGTAGGAGAACTGACCTAAAAATCACCACCTTCAGGAGTGTGGTGTTCGGCTCAGTGCATTAGGCCTCGGAAGGTTGCCAGTTTGAATCCCATCATCAGCAGAATAGTTACTTCTCCATTGGGCCCTTAAACCCGCCAAAATGCTCTAGGGGTGTCAGATAAACAGCTGTCCCTGTACTCAGACCCCAAGTGTCGCTCTCAGCATTTCTACGCAACAATGTAGGAGAGAATTTGCTACTGGTGGAGACACAACTTAATGATAAATGAAAATGTTTATTTGTAGGAGGAACGAATGAATGCCTAGTTAAATATTGGGGTGGTAGATGTTGTCCCTCTTCCCCAGGTCCTATGCCCCTGTATATATGTCTGTGTGTTTCGAAGTAGAGCATGATGGGATATGCGAAAAGAAGCATTCCAGTGTCCCTGACCTCGTCCAATAAAGCTTTGTTTCTGAGCTTTCGCATGTGGCGCAGGACCGACCCCCTTCCGGCTGTTGGCCGCGGCGCACGAATGGAAAGGAACTTCAACACGTGAGATCGCGTCGCCGTGAATTACGGCCGCAAGGCAGATGTACAACAGCGTGCGGAAACCGAGACTGGGGTGGGGGGGGGAGCAAAAGCCACATTAACAGCTGGCCTCCCTAATCTCTGACGTGCAGGAGAAGTTAGCTTCTATGTTTCAGTGTGGAAATAAAATCACAACGCCGGAAACATGGGATATTATGGTGGGGTGGGGTGGGGTGGGGGGGGGGTGACGATGAGATTTCTTAGGCAGCCTGCACATTGTGGCTTGTGGCGAGTTACTGACAGGTCCTTTATATAACCTCCGTATATCAAGCGGAGAAGCATGTGTCAGTCATCCCCCTACCCTGTCCAGAGCCAGCTGCCCCCTGACACTCCCTCCCTCCAAAAAATAAACAAGGTCAGAGGGATCAAGCACTGTGGAGACTCCCCGGCCCCACCCGTCCAGCCCCCAGTTCCCGAGACGCCGTTACCATGTCCACGAAACACCCCTGAAGAAAGAGAAGGTTCTTTGTGGCCGAGTCCTTATTACTGGCCCAGCGGTGCTCACAGATTAAACAAAGCGAACACGTCCAGACAGGCTAACGATGGCCGCTTTCCTGCTTTGTCTCCTTGCGGGGGGTGGGGGGGGGGGGACTAGCTCAGCACGGAGGAGTTGTTTCAGGCTGCGTCCGAGGCGAATCGAGTCTGAACCCATGACAGGCCGTTGGGGAGCGAAAGCGAGACAGGGAGGAAACAGTAAGGAATCACCCACCCAAAATGATCGGAGACAGTAACCAGGATCGTGGATAGTGTGCGTGAACATGCGTGATTGAACGTCTGAGGTAGGGGGAGCTTGGAAAGGGTATCCAATGTTCAGCCCCCAGTCCCTGGACCTCTCCCTCCGCTGCTCCAGCACCAGCCAATCCCTAAAAAGGGGATAGAAGTACTATAAAAACTCTGCTCAGACTCCGAGGCAGTGCCAACAGTCAGAGCCTGGGACCGGTAAAGACTCCCCCAGCCACCCCGACTGTTCCAGTATCCAATCACACTCTTTCCCCTGCACTTTGTAGTCGTTTGCACACATTACTCTTATGCAGAAATGTTTTCTGGAAATTTGCCATTTCAGTTGTCTTCTTTAGTTTTGTGTATAATGTACAGTAAAGAGTTTCTCTAGTGCGTCTTGTAATATTGTCCTATATGTCATGTTTGACACTGAGCCGCAACCACTTCTGGAACATTTATGCACACTGGCGATGTTTCCTCAGCATCGATAGAGATGCATCTGATCGACAGCGACTGAAACGATTCCTCACTACAGCAGTAACTACACGTGGCAGTTTAGAGAAACAACCGAGATGGGCGTCGCTCTATTCAACTGGATCAGGTCAGGTTATCAATAAATAAGTATAAAAAGTATTAAAGTACACTTTAAAAAATGAGTTAAGTGAGATTCACATTTTGTATTAACATTCCTTTGCCGTTTTGTCAGTTTTGATCTGGCATGCAAACAACTTTGAAACACTAAGAAAAGAAAAATGATTTAAAAAAATAACAAGAATCTGAGTTAAGTCTATTTTTGAATAATGCCTTTTTTTTATAGTGACCTGGATATAAACACTGCCTGCATTGTCTTCATGCACGGGGGGGTCGATGCAGTAAGGCTGAAGCTGGGGCTCTACTTTAATAACGACCAGTCCATCCTCTTCCCTCCCAGGGAGACTGAAAGGAAGCGATTATTCATCCCTGAGCAAAAGTATAAACATCTGAGCATGAGAGGAGCAAACGCTAATGCGCTACTTCTCTCACAGTCCACTGCAGATTTTTACATAAATTATTCAAGAAACAAAGCAAAAACAACGTGAAATTACTGAACGTTAACAAGGCACTGTCCGTTTTGTGAGTTCACTGGTTTAAAGTGGGCACCGTCAGAATATTCTCTTAAACTGACTTTGACTTGCACAGAAGTTCATCATACGCTTCTAGGATGAGGGATCTCCTATATCTCCTATATGCCGCCCCTGCATTGCAGACCGGGAGGCCCTGGAGCTTCTGGGGAGAGGTTCTCTGCTATGGCAGAGCTGTTAGTCTGTCGGTTGAGCCAATAGGGGCCTCAGCTACAGCTGGGATCCAGCCTCTGCAATGTCAGTGGAAGCATATCGTCCCTGCTTTAATTTAACATTACAGCTTTAGTCGGGGGAGGGGGGTGAAGAGATGTTGGGGGTCCAGGGGTAAAAGCACATGCCGGGCTGCAAGGATGAATGAGTAAGAAGTGTACCTTTGGCTTGGCTGGCCTCCATCTGATTATGCACCGCTATCTGTAAGACAAACAGCGGTTCAGCTAGTCCCTGGAATTGGCAAGGACACATCCAGCTGTTACAGATGTTGCCTGCGCATAAATGCCTTGTTCGGAACATTAGGTGTCGCCTAAAGTGACAGCCAGAGAACTGGCCAAACCCAGGGGCTCATCGGAATGACTCATGACGTCATGAACCTCGGGTAAAAATCCCACGCGGACAGGAGGATTTCGGGACCGCAGGTGCAGTGGGGCAATACGGTGCCTGAGTTTTGCCCATGAGTCACAGAATCAGCCAGCACTGCTATGCCAACCCTGTGTACCATCCCTGCCGCTGCAGGTGGGGTCCATTCTGGCACATTAGGGAAGAAGCCATTTCGTCAATTAAATTACAAAAAAAATAACATTACTTATTGATTCAGCTGTCACCATTGTCTGAGTGTCACGTGAGTCGTTGGGATATATTTGAGGCGGTTCAGAATATTTGATATTTTGTTTGATTTCACATTGAAGCCGTGAAAAAACGTTGCTATTATGCTTGGCCATTTGAGTCAGGAACAGGCGGATACGGAATACAAATACATGTATTTCATGTATTTTTGCCCAGCCGTGAACTGGAGTAACTCCGAACATCAAAGTCTATTGCTTATCTGTTTATTTTCAGTATATTGACACTGTATTTATTCTTTTTGTGCTGCATGATTTTAATGCTATTTACGTGCATTCCGGCACTGTTAATATAAAATGCGTTTATGTCGCTCCTCTTATATTTCACTGTTCTGCATTCTGCACTTCTTAAGCTATTGTGACAGCATCCTGTTCGCACTTTCTGTTTACATGTTGTACCGTGGTTCTTGGGTCAAAACTCTCTCACGTTACCGTGTTCCTGCCTATGGGTGGCAGGATAATAAAGCCCACGGTGCTTAACTTGGTTTGATGCAAAATATTTGAAATCTAAGATTGAGGTCATAGACACATACCTAGTGTTCACAATAAGCGTGTGTCTTCAGAAGACGTGTACCTGGCTATAGTGAGAACAGTGTAATCTCAGCTCACCTAGTAATACCACGCTGCTCAGATCAGAATCACTGCCGTTACTGATACTGCCACAAACACTGCAGCTCCGTGACAGGGAATCCAGAAACTGAGCCAGTGCTAATTCAGGATAATTTATCCAAACGGTTATATATGTAAACATGCACCAGGTATTAATCACGGAGCATTCATTTCGGTTCAAAACATAGATACACTTATGCACATGAGCAGGCGCACACGCACACACTTCCTCTCTCTCTCTCTCTCTCTCTCTATCCCTCTCTCTCTCTCTCTCTCTCTCTCTGACAAGGAGGGCCAGCTGAAGGGTGAAGGCAGCCAGTTAGAAAAGGGGTGTGGAGAAGTGGCAGCAGAGGGGGCCCTATAAAATTGCCCGTGCACGAGCCACACTTTATCCCGCCAGAGCCGCTCGCAGCCAGAGGAAATCCCAGCCTCGTTCAGAGCCACCGCACGCCCCCAGTCACACACGCGCCTCGTTTGCTCCAGGCCGCATCCGCCAGCACAATGAATGGACCCCGCAGATGGACGGCCGTCATGGCTGCCAGCGTTTTGTTGCTGTGCTGTGAGTACCTGGTTGCTACCTTTCACTTTTTATTCTGAACCATCAAGAGCAGCATAGGATGCCTTTGGGCACGGAAAACCTTTGTGAGTTTCTCTCAGAACTTTCTAGGAAGTTTCTAGAAAACTCGCCTGGACTTAATTCCGTTCCTCAGCTGCGAAGGGGGAGCATGATTAGGATGGGGGGGGTGGGGTGGGTAGGTGTGTGCTGCCAATTAATCGCACACAGGCAGAGGTTTAATAGGAAATGGGCCGATCTTAGGTGCCTCGTCGGCTTGTGCTGAATTTGCAGAGCGGGAATTTGAAGCCTAGCATGCAAAACGGTGCAAGCTGCGGGCGTGTATTCCGTGAAGTCGCCTAGCAACCGGCAGAGCGTGGCCGGGTTCGTTTCATGTGAATGACTGCAGTTGAGCCTCATTATGGGATGCCTCCATCGGCGTGATACACCCCTCAGATGCAGACACTTGCCCCACGAGTCTCGGAGGAGGGTCAAAAAGCCCACTTACTGACTAGGTGGAGCCTGAAAAGCCAAATATAATCATCAAATAATAATAAAGTGTTTGGACAGTGGAAAGACACTCACAGCATGTAATGGTAAGGGGCCCCTTTCACGAGCAGCATCAAAGCGGCCGCGTTTCACTTTCCGTCTTAGTTTAAGCAGCAAAGAGGCCCCCCCAGGGATGATACCTGCTGGGGGGCCTGATTATCTTCAACTTAAAATGTGAGAGCCTGATACCCATGGAATGAACTTGAAAGCAGGCAGCTGGACAGTCACCTAATTGACGGCTCTTGATGGCTTGCAGACAGTAAGTTAGGGGGCAGTACCCCCTGCTCATGGTTCATGCATGGGGGGCGGCACTGAAAATGATCATTGGATACAAGAATTAACAAGGAAATCTAATAAGGCGACCCACCTCCACATGACTTTGTATGTGTGTGTGTGTGAGAGAGCGAGAGAGAGAGAGAGAGAGAGAGAGCAGTCTGGGGGATTTTCCAGATAATTCATAGCTAGTAGTCCAGTGTTTACTTATGTTTTGTTTTTTGGACTCTTATGGTGAAAGCAAAAATTTTAAAGTTGCTAAACCTCTAAAATCAGGGGTACCTGTTGCTGAGCTCTTATACCAGAAAAGTGGTCCCCTCCCTTCAGACATTCCGCAAGGGGGTTACAACCCCCCCCCCCCCCCCCCCCAACCCCCACTCCACGACCAAAAACGCGGGCAGAACACTCCACCAATCAGGAGAGGACGCCACACTGCTAACACCCATGTGCAACTGGGCCCCAGAATGTGGCCACACCAGTTAGGGTTACAGCACAACCGTGTCACCGGGAACATGACTGTGTCACCGGGAACACGACTGTGTCACCGTGAACTCTGCTGTTTTATTTTTGCAGGTCAGACAAATAACACAGGCAGTTCTCTGTATGGCAACTTCTGTGCTGATGTCTTTTGAGGTTAACTGGCTTGAGTGGGTGTAATGTGTTCTCTAACTAAATGCTGACTCTGAAATATACTTCTTAAAATTAACTTCCTTTCATTGCTAAAAAAGCAACTATGTAATCCAAATGTTTTCGGTGTGTAAAAAAGTTCACTGGCGAGAAAACAAGACTTTTCTGAGGGATGCTCTTTTTATGGGTTTGCGAGTTTTCCACATAGAGTGAGTGTAAACATTTGTCTTGTTCCTCCAGTTGATGGATTTGGGTGTGGATGCACTGGATCTGAGCCACTGATGTCCCTCACTTGTGGGATACAGCAGCTGATGAGACTTGATTTTGAAAAGCCTTTTTTATTGCGAGGGTTTTGCTATCACAGTTATGCAGCACGTTAAATCGATGTGTCTGTTTCGGAGTAGATAGTTTGTCTGTTATAGGTGAAAGGGATTGTGGGTAAAGGATGGTGCTTTGGAAACATGGGGGAGGGGGGGGGGGTTCTACTTGACTCCTAGAGAAAATCACACCAGACAGCCTGGGACTGAAGAACTTACGTCCTGCTTCCACAGCGGGGAAATGGGACTTAAAGGGCACAGGGCAGGACAAACATCCTTAGACAGATGTCTGGCATGGAGATTTTCACCCAGAATGCTGTGGTGGGAGAACCGACCTCTTGGAATTAAAGATTTAAAACAATCCAAGGATGACACGCTGTGGAAAAGGAGGAAATACATAAACAGAAAGCATCCCATAACTGTCCTTGTGTGTCTTGTGTGGTGGGCGGTGCGTGTCTCGGCAGGTTCAGACACTGGGATCAGAAGGTCGTCGGTTCAAATCTCAGGTTTGGCGCAATGATTTCTGAGCAAAACCCTTAACCCTCAATTGCTCCAGGGACTGACTGAGCCTGCTTTCTCTCAAAAAACAAAATGTAAATGTGTTTAATATGTAACCCGGGACCAGTATGGGATTACACAGCTCATAACTGGTAAATTGCAGTCACAATGCTAACACAAGCTGTGGAACTTCACGGCAAACGATTAAGGTCCATCTAATCTCCATGTCTGTAACAGCTATGCCATGGGTGCTGCCTGTCTGTGGGTGAAGCAGCCTAGTGATCGGCCAAATAATCGTACGTGGACTGGGCTCCTCTGCCACCCTGCCTGCCCGCCAAAATAAGACACTGGCACACACACATAACTACATCACTGGTGCCCATGCAGCAGCCTTAGAAAGAGATTCCAGAGAGGAGGGACTGTTTGTATGATGGACCGACGTGCCATAATAGATAAGGTACATGCCTGCTATGCCCCAGGACGTGAGGCACACCAAGCAGGGCGATAAGCCAGCCTGGTTACCCCTTACTGCATATGCAGCAGTTCAGACTAATAAACCCAAACATCTACTGAAAACAATGTCAACGCCAACAGAAACACAGACGGAAAATGGCTCCTATAGTTTCTTTCTCATGCAACATTCCATGAGTCCTCCGTCGGTGATGTCATCATGGGCTTAATCAAGGCAAGTAGAGATCAAGTAACCTCTGAGGAAGGCTGCTTTGGGCAAGACACTGCAACTCTGTCCTTGGGGACAGACTGTGAGCTTCTGCACAAGCTATTGTATGTATAAGAATACACACAAAGGCTTCCTTCTTTATACATGTATTCTTATATACATGACAGCTTGACATACTCAACCAGCATCTCGGTCACAGAAAGTTGAGGTAGTGTGATCATATGTCCTCATTTTTTTTCGTATCTAAAAATGTGGTTTTGAGACCTAAAACTTGCTGAAAATGTCTGGGATTTTGCATCGCTTCATGTTGACATTTGGTTTGTGACACTACAGAATACTTTCTATGCGCATATTGGCACTGCTTTGATGCCCGTCTTTGCATCCTGTCCCCAGCGTCCTCTTTTTTTGAAAACCCGATTACCTCTAGTTGAGTGTTAAATGGAAAGAGTGCGAAGAAAAGCAAGCAAGTCCTCTCTTCGGAGCTTTGCGTGGGCTCTGGGAAGCGTGCACAAACCTTAGACTCCACCCACACCTCCCCGGCCTAATCGGCACCACACTATCAGTAGCGGTGCTATTTATTTAGCTAAATAGTGCTAATGCAGAGCAGCATCTGCTTGTGTTCACATCTCACTTGCACAATTACTGCTTATTTGGTGAGCATCATGTTCTAGCCCTCTCGGCTCCCAGACTGAGATTTATGACGATATGGTTTCCGCAGCAACATTGCCAGGTCCCTCTGCTCCTATTGTTTTTTTTTTTTTTTCTGAAAAACGGCTATTAACGTTAAGAGCCAAGCTTATTACTAATTTATATTCTTCATAAGTGCAAGAAACTCTGATTGGCAATGAATCAAGCACAGCTTTCTGGCAAACCGGGGCCAGCAGGTCTAGAGAACCCAGTGTAGCTTTGCCAAAGTTTGGATGATGTCACTGTCTTCCAGCTGCGGAGTTCCACAGCAAGGCACCGTCCGGGGCGGGGTGGGCTGGGGTGGGGTGTCCGGACCCACTCACATGCATGCGTGTCGAGGATTTGGAGGAAACTCAATCTCGCTCTCCTCCAAGGCTAAAGATCCTCTGAAGTTGCTCCGGCTGCAAGATCTTGGTGCAAGAAATCTCCAGCCAGACTGCAGCACACGGATTAAACCAAAAACAACATCTTTCTACTGAGCAGCACATTACCAAACCACCACATTACAATTTCCATTAGAGTCCTGCGTAGTGCTATTTTATTGCAATGTATATTACGCTTTTCTTTCCCTTTGGAACAAAGAGATTTACTGTTTTTTGCATCCATTGCTGGGAAAAGTAATTGCCCTAGGTAATTAATTCCAAACAGCCGGTGCCATGACGCTCCTAATTGGAACCATGAGATGACATCCTCTTCCTGCTTCAGAAAGCGCTGTGTTTTTCTCAGGCTTGATGTTCCTGTGCTGGGAAGGTCTGCTAAACGTTAGCTAACGAGCCGGGTCGAAGGTTAAGAGTCAGCCGCCTTAAACGGAGAACATTGTGCTGCACGTTTAACCTATGAGGGAGGATCACCGTGGTTCATGATGTATGGTTTTTTTTCTCCCCCCTTTAGATACAGTGATTTCCCCTGGGCTCTTATGTAGGACCAGCCTTTAGCAGAAAGGACATGCTGTCTAGATATCGTCTCGCACCAAGCCCCACCGCCCAAGCTGCGACGTAAAGAACAGAGAGCTGGACACCGGCCATGCACATCTGCAGATTTTGGATGGGGGGGGAGGGATTTACTCTCCGTCTGGCTCCACATAAAGTGGGGAAACAGCTTGTCGAAGTATAGGGCGTGTCATGGCGTGGGGGGAGTTCAATTTGTCAGTAACGAGAGCCGCATGTTGTTGGAGTGGAAACGGCAGTTTATTTAATAGGGCTCTTTTTTAACCCCCCGCCCCTCCCAAATTCATTCTTGGTTTAGCCCATATGTACTGCACAATAAAAACATGACCAAATGTTTAGACTAAGGGAAATGCTGGCTAGTTATCCAAATTAACTTACCCATTTTGGGTGGTTTACTTTTAAAGAGTTGCTAACCTCCAACTGTAGGGT